ATAACTTCGTTCCTCTGTTACGTAAGCAGTAGTATTTTTGAGTTGTTTCCACGCGAATTTTGTTACGCACACGTAACGTAGCACTGTTACTTTCAAATGCATGGAATGCGTAACTACTATACTTATTTCAATCAACAATATACGCGGCCGAAATGAAACAGAGCGTATTATGATTGGCAATCGGAGCGTGCTGCAACATGGAATACCTCCTTCGTTTACCGTCGCGAATAAACTCGCGTTCGTAGGGTCTTAATTCCATCGTAACTAATTAGCAGATGCGCAACTCTCATAATCTGCTTGTTTTTCCTCCTATATATTCCGGATACTTGGCTCATTCCTTCTCTCGTGGAGGAAAGCACTCGAGCCATGTAAGCTGCATTCCGTACAAGAAAGTCGTACGCGGGGATACGGCATTCTTGGCTTTTACGATTCGTATAGTCGATAAAATCGTGACTTGCAGTCCGACTTCGGCCCATCGCGTCGACCGGCGTCGACGTCGCGGCGAAGAAAAAGAAAGGAGTGTCAATGAGCTTCGATTTTTTTTTTTTTCGCTGTCGATCAAGAGAGCCTCTATTCTCGTCGCGATTAATATCCGGCCGTGTCTAGGCCGGAGAAAGCAATTTCGAACGTTAATTGCTGATAAGTTATAATATGACCGGCCGTATGACTATTATTTATTATTACCATAGACGAAAAGGAGTACAGTGAAGTATTTAAAAATTTAGCTAGGTACAAATCTGAAAATAATGTTGGATCATCAAAGTAATTATGTAGGACGTCAAACTGGCTGAAATATTAAAACTTTTTGCAGCATTGCTTATCATACTTGAAAGTACATAATTGTTTTGATAGGCCAACAAAAGTTTCAGATATCTAGTTAAATTTTCAGATACTTCAGCAAAACCGTCCTTTTTGTGTACGACTTATGAATAAATCATTCTCTTTTCAGTATTTACGATTTCAAGTACCCGAAGAATAATTCCCGTCGAAATATATATTAAGATCATTAAGTAGACTCAAACACGTTGAATTGAGTGAATAAAATCGGACGCTGTTCAACATAAAATGTGAATTATATTCATGCCACTTTAATAGAAACCGCGATGCTTATAGACGACTTTTCGACCGTCCAAATTTTGTAAGTCAAAACTCGGCGATACTGTGTCGACGAAACGCACAACTTCCGTAATTTGCCAGTTAACTTGAAACTTTCCAGGTACATTCTATGCGCTTTACTAACAAGTTTCCTTCTAATCGAATCTTCTTGAGTTTTATCTACAAGACAGTCTTAACATGTGAGATACGTTAAACCGCTTCTTTTCAGCAATAAACTTATCGTCCATATTATCGTACTATTGGGAATCCTCTTTGGCGAAAATTGGATTAGACGTTTATTTCCGTTTTTCAATTTGTTAATGATCGGTGTAATAGAAATTAAATGAATTAGTCGCATATTAAAATAAAGTTAAGTTGAAGTTCAACACGAAAGGTTTTACTAGATGTATCTGCAAGGTTTAATATTCATTAAGTAGCTCTTGAATTATATATTATAGTCCGAATACGGAAAAATTTTGACAGCACACGGATGAAATTAATTCATTTCGCGCGATTACATTAAAACCGTTTCAAAATATGCCCCCTCTCTCCTCCGCCTCCACAATTCTGTAATTTTTAACGACGGTGCCGGTATATTATACTGTGATTGCGCAAATATTATACGTAGTAAAAAATCGCGTAACAACAATATAATCGTATATAACGACAATGTAACAATGCCGTTGTATATAACGACAATGAAACAATGCCGAACTGTGTAGAGGTCTATATTTATAAGAGAGCAGTGCAAAAGTCTGTAGAATCTAATACTATAAACACTGGTTGTGAGAGAAAAATGTACTAAATTTTAATAAATACTTGTTTGAATAACGTCGGTGGAATATTTACTAAATGTAAACATATATTTTTACGATACAAAAACTATTAATTTAATTTAACTGTTATTATTTTTTATTTAGCAAATATTTATTTTCCAAAAATAAATGTTACATTACTGCTATTCAAACAGTAATTCATTAAAATTTATTACATTTTTCTCCCAATGTATCATATTAAAAAATTACCAAGTACTTATTGGATCAATTGAGTCCAAGATGGCGGTCAAAATAGTCAATAGAGAAATAGAATAGCAGCCAATAGAAAAACGCGTATTGTCAACATTCACTTAGATAAAAGAAATGTGCTACTCTTATTAATATAGATACGTATGAACTGTCGTTAGAAGTTATAAAATCGGGGTACTGGTATGCTCTCCACCGTTTCGAGCCTCAGGCAGCGACAATACGACAGTCAACGCGTTACTTCTTATCCCCGCGAGATTCGCGCTTCTGAATTGAATTACTCTCGATGGACCTTGACCGCCTCGAGATTGAAATTCAAAGTTGGATTTTCGGTAGCTACCATCAGATCGCCGTCGGATGATCCCTGCTAGCGAATGTATAAAATAATCAACGGCCTCTCTGGAATTCACGTAGTCCCTTTTTGGGATCGCGTAAACTCCGGAATCATATAAGCTCCCTGAAAATTCAAGTAATTCTGCTGTCGCCTGTCGTCGCGGGAGAGTTCACAACAACGCGTGAAATGTTCGAATAAATCAAATTATCGTAAAAAAAAAACTATTCAGTTCGTTGAGGCTTTTGTCTCAACTCTATTTTTTAACCGACCCTTTGATATAATGCCTTGTTTGCAGAAATCTATGTGCTTCTAAAAAATTTCACTGTAAAAGATATTGGACGATAGAATGATGTTATACTAGGTGTCCCTAATTTGCAAATTAAAATACTATAACAAGAAAGTTCTCGGAAAGTTAAGTAAAAAAAAGTTATTTGTACATTTTTATTTTAAGTAGTAGTTTTTAAGATAATTATATTGGTCAAATTTAATATAACCAATTGGAGACTGCGTTTAGATAGTCTAGATAGTCTATCACTTGTCTATGAGTCGTGTGATAGTGTTAATGAGTGTTAAATGTAGCGCGTTCCATTAATATTTTTCATTCTCCAATTAATTTATAGTTAGATTTAACTTGATAATAATATAAAAATTTTTGTAGCTATGATTAATTTGTAGCTATAAATAACTTTTAAAGTTACTATTTCAAAATCATCAGTTTAATGATTAATCATGGCTAGAAAAATACAATTTTTACATTATTATCAGGCTAAGTAAGGTTAAATTTAAATTACAAGATGTCAATCAGAAAATGAAAAATCGGACGTAACACTCATAAGTGACCGTTTAAACTGTAATATTGGCCATATTTAAAACTCTCATATCTCAAAAACTGCTGCTTAAAATAAAAATTTCATAAATAATTTTTTAAGAAATTTCTTCTTGCTATAGTGTTTTGATTCATAGATTTCAGGACACCCTGTATATTTCACAAAATCGCTTCAACGCAAAACTAGCGATAAACGAACGAGAAAAAAGATGAAAAAGTCCTAGGTAGGACTGGACAAGATCGATTTCACTCGAATGCTCTCAATTCGAAACGAAATGTCAGCGTTTGACTTTTCTTACGTGCGGGAACATCGCGAGTGGTGAATTCTTTTGGTCGACTCACAAGCACGGGAAAACAATTTCTGTGTCTCGATTCATCAAAATTAATCCCTTTTCAATCTCCATCAAGAACAAACTCGTGCATCGAAAGCAAAATCCGCGTTGCTGAAAGTAGCTTTATCAACAATGGCAGTACGCGACTCTTGCGATCATGAGCGATCTGCGAGTATCGCATCATGGGTGCGACCTTTTCAATTTGTATTCTAACCTTTACGAGAAGCGCTATACACGTCGTTTGTGTGCTCAGGATGTAAAACAACGTTAAAACATAGACACACCGAGCGTATAACGCACGGTCGAGCTATAAATAGACGTTCCCATATAAAGCGGACTATCAAAGTTACGTTAAGAGACAATGAGTTTCTTTACGATGTTTCTATGGAAAATTAATTGCGCGAAATTATAATTATCGGTTGTTCTAATTTCTATTATTTTTATCGAACCTCCAATCCTAAGTCAATTGTGTTTTGTTTGAGTGTCGTGACTGATTGTCTGACACGTTTTGCCTTATCGTATCGCTATTGTCTTTAATGAGCAGTAAAAATTAATAGACAATTAAATTCGAAAATTTCCAATTTTCTTTTAATCAATTTCACTGGTCCACTAAATATTATTTTTAAAAGTTTAAATATAAACCTTTTAATGAAAAATACATACATGTATATATTTATTTCGAAAGACGATTAACGAGTCTTCAATAAAATGTTAAAATGTTGATTAACTATTAAATCGTTAATACACAATCATTAAAATATAATGAATATTTTAAACATTTAAAATTTATTTAGTAGTCGCTAACAGCATTAAAAAATAATTAATATTTATAAAATTTATATGCAATTATATATATATATATATATATATATATATATAAATAATTGATTTGAATGTAAACG